CTGAGCCACCAGGGAGGGCCTCCCTACATATCTTAACTCCACATGTTTCCTTCCAGGTCTGCCACGTCCCTGGTGTCAGTCCAAGGCCAAGAAGCAAGCAAGCCCTTGTCTCACCTGTGCGTGTCTCTTCCCATGTTCTCTCCCTATCTCCAGTGTCTCTGTTCTGTAGCTTTACCTGAACGTGTAGCTCCACCCCTTGTTAGGTGAGGCAGGAGACATGTATGGTGATACTTGGATTAAACTATTCAAGTGGGTCTCCCTGGTGGCACAAAAAGTTAAGTCTCAGCACTGTGAGGCTATCTGCAGCCACTACAGCACAAGTTTGATCCTCAGCCAGGGAGGTGACCCACATGGCACGGCAGATCTCTCCTCTCTGATTGCTCCCCTCAGCAGTGTATTTCAACCAATTCATCTGTTCTGCTCCCCACTTTGTCTTTGGTGAATCCTCTCACCCCACTCTGGACCTCTGGCCCTACACCTTAGTTCTTATATGCATAAATAAATAAAATAAATCTTCATAAAATATTCAAATAAGACTTGGACTTGAGTTTGGTTTTAATCTTCAAATTTCAGAACATTTTCTATTGTTACTAGTTTTTTGCTATTAGTTTTAAGTTTTTACTTTTGAGTAGTTAAACTGTGATAAACATAAAGCAGTTATATATAATGAAAAACATCTTTGTTCCACAGATGTTCTCTAATTCTCCCCAAAGGCATCCTCTGACACTAATTTCAAGTACATTCTTTTAGAAAATTCTATGCATATAAAGTACTCATACCCTTCTTCTCTTAAAAGCCCACAAATGAAGCATATTATACATACTTGTTCTGTCCCTTCCTATTTTGCCTAATAATATATCTTAAAGATGATCTGATATTAGCAGTGTCTGCATTCTTTATAGTTGCCTAGGATTCAGTAATTTCTTTAAATAAAACTCTCAATGTTCCTAAAGAATTTATGATTCTATTTATATTAAAAGTCCAGAATAGACAAAAACACTAACATTTTGTGCTTTTGAACAATGCAGCGATTAAAAAATATCATGTGTAAGACATTCTGTACATATGTAACAATATATTTTAAATTTCCAGAAGTGAAAGTTTTTACTTTAAATTTTGTGACTTTAGGAAAATTATTTATGATCTCCAACCCTTAGTTCCCTCGTCTTTAAGAAGGGGAGGCTGTACTGGTACTTGTTGCATGAGTAGACTGGAACATGGGAAATGACAATATATTAATTTATTATTTTGCATATCATGAAGCTTATACATTTTTAAAAATCAAGAATCCCGGTGTGGGGAGGGAAATGCATTGGACTATGACGATGGCACATGGGTGATTTTGCGATGGGAAGCCCACAGGGATTACAACTGAGATGAAAAAAATGCACAAAATGCTATAAATATAAACTGTTATAAAAAAAAATCAATGGGCCCTCCCTGGTGGCGCAGCAGGTTAAAGCACAGCACTAAGAAGCTAAAGCCACTTTCGCAAGAGTTCGAAC